GCTGAAGTTCCTAAGTGCAATTAGTATTGACTAAGTCCAAGCCTGATGGTTGATTGGCATCTCCAGTGCAAACAGTCTCTTCTAACTAAATAACATGTAATTTAACACGTGTTGTCCATGCCAAATCCTGAGAAGAACTTAATAGTGATGGGAGAGGTTCTTCTGTCAGAGCTGAAGAAACTTGTTTGGACTGTACAAAAATGCTTGGTTGTTACTTCTTGTACTGTCTCTGTCAAGTGGACATTAACCTTCAGTGCACTTACTGTGACATCTTTCAGTGATACAGCTTTCTACCTTAAGGTCCATGGGGTTCTCCACAATGGTCATTGTGTGGGAAAAAATAATTGTGCAATGAACTTGAAATGATTTTGTGGTCTTATCAGGGGGAGAATAATGAGTGTGGTTGCCTGCTGTCCCATTTCTTTCTGAAAAATGCTGGCTTTTGGTTAAAATTCTCATACTCCTAGTCTTCAGAGTGGGCACAGGTAATATGAATTTTCAAATGTTAACAAATGTGAAATGGAGGAATATCTAGTATATGTAGTCAGACTGAAGCACTGTCTCTGGGCAGCATAACTTCTTTTTACCTAAGAAGCAGCTAGAGTTCATTGCCATTAGTTCATTTTAAAGGCGTTGCATGCAATTATACAGTGGATGAGTAATAGCTGAAACATACAGAAACTTCTAGACCTTGTAAAAAGGTCAAAGCACAAGTAGTTTGTGCTTTCTAGTAAATTAAATGTAAAGAGTTTTTAAAAACCCTCCCAAAACATGCTCCATAATTTTATGGGCCTCAGTTCCTAACGCAGTTGTAAGCATTTTAGTTCAGATCAGGGCTGTCTGAAAAACTTGGGATGCTTGTTTCTGCACTTTTCTTCTCTGAATCAGAGAAAATTTTGCTTTCCTACACTCAGCTTCTTTCTCCCTTACCCAGTTAACCCTTGGATAAATGTTCTTTTTTCTCTGTGTCTCTTTCCCCAGCAACTTTCCAATGCCACTGGGTCCTTTTCAGGGCTGTCACCTCTCCTAAGTCTGGTAACTATAAAACTAGGAACTTGGCTTTAATGCCTATCCTTGAAGTTCTGTATGTAAGGAAGAAAATGCTGCTAGTTCAGTCCTTCTTTCAAATGAATTATGCCACATTGCTTTCTGCTGCTTTACTTAAGCACCCTGCTTAAGTAAGTATTAATGAAATCTGTTGCCTTAAATCCTTTAATTTCATTTATGCAGAAGCATTGAATAATCCATAGAATTCGTAACTTGTATCATGTCAAGTTTTCTGAATTGTTGGACCTAGTGCGATGATAAGTCATTGACTACTGTCAACCATGAAATAATTATTCTGCTTTGTGTTTGGGTTTTGTTTTGTGGACACCGGTATTTTGCAGGTCTTTTTAGATACAGTTGCATTAGCACAAGTCTGAAGTAAAAGGCTTGACACAGAGAAAAAAATTAAACCTGAAACTTCCAAAGTTCAAAAATAGAGCAATAACCCCAAATGAAGAATAAAAAATAATAGCTTTATTATTATAGATTATACCATTCAAAAGTGTACTACTTGCTTCAGAGCACAGTAATGTTCCTTGTAGTGCTCCCTGGGAGATCTTCAGTCCCAAAGTCACACAAGACCTCGTTATTTTATTTTGATTTAGATTAGATAAAAAGTGCCCAGACACCAGTTCAGAGCACTCTGCCAGTTACTATAAACTATAAAATTCAAGTGCAGTGCAATCAGTTTAACTCTTCTAGCAAGCAACACACCCAGTCAAACATCAGTGGTCCCTAACATTAATCCACTTACTCCTTCAGTGGTGAGATGAAACACACAGAACTAAATCAAATAGTATCTTGCTACCAGCCTTGCCAGCCTCAAATGTGCAAAAAATATGAATTAGACTATCTCTGAATTTATGAAAAAAATTACTTTACTTCTGAGTATTAAGATCAAACTTTGTTCACTTTTGGTTTTATACTTTTATTTCGCCTGGGTCTTGGAATTGTCACATTGTCATTTGCAGCAGACAGCTAGGATGTGCAAATATACCAAGTGCATGATGATACACCTGAGAGTAGTGAGCACTATTAGTAACAAAACATGACTTGTCCAGCTGTATGAACCCTAAAGAGATCATTCCAGAAAACATCTTGGACTTAGCACGTTTTAACAAAACACATAATTTCTCTAGTAAATCGGTGCATTTCAACTAGCAGTACATTTCAGATGAAGAGGCTAGCTAGTTGTTTAATTGAGAGGATTTCCTTACTCCTTTAACATACCAGCAGAAGTATTTACTACTGAGAGAACAGTAGTGGAATTACTGGCATTTAAAGCCAAAACTGCTTAAATACTGAGCTGATCTCATTAGCTGCTGCAGCTTCAGTCTGAGGCAGTGGGGTGATGTTTTCTTTCAGTCCCTTTCTCAGACTATGCTGTTTCTTCTAAATTCTCTGTAGAAACAGTTGAACTTTTTTGATCAGTATACCTACAATTGTTCAGATGTACAAAACGGCATCCTTTTCTAAAAGATAAAAAAAGCTTTTAAAGTTTTAATTTTGGGAAAGCAGCATTTATGACATACTGATTTATATCCATAGAATAAGTAAAGATATGTTTAATTTTTTACTATATTTTTAAATTTTGATGAATGCTGTTCTGAGAGTTACTTCCATATCTTGCTGCCTTTTCTGGTAATTATTTGAAGCTAGCAGAATTCAGTGACAAAGACAGAAAGTGATGAGTTAACATCTGTGTCAGCTGGATGTTCACCATGTGAGGAGTTAAGATTCCCAGTGAAGTCTTTGGCTAGATTTACAGTGTAATTGTATAGCTGATGATAGCACAGGTTGGTTGTTCTGTGAATGAGCAAAGGTGCTGTTTTTCTTTCTGTCTGAAAGTGTCTACACAATACACTTGCTGTCCAGTAACAGGGATGCAATAGAATCCCAGCCAAATGAGTCTTAGTTTCCTTAGCTTCAATATCAGTAGCTGAGAAATAACACAGCTTCAGTTCCAGGCCCTCCAAGCTTGGTGGAGAAAGATGACTCAGTATTCTGTTGCATGTCTAATTGTAGCACAGGTCTGTCCTTTATGTTGACATTTCTCTATTGTTACATCCATTATTTTCAGACTTTTCAAATATCTCATTTAAGTTTTAATAACTATTTGCTGAATCATTCATGTTTCAAGATGTCAGTGGCCAAAATCCAGAATTTGTCTCGAGACATTTTTCAGTCTCAGATTTATTCATAAACTTTTCTATTGATTAAAATAATAAATTACAAAATTTTTGTAGGAGATAGCCTGCAAGAAATTGCAAGATATTCTATCCAAATTATGATAAAAATCAAGATAATGATTTATATGCATAACAGGAAGTGTGTATACCTGTATAACTCAACAATGTAAATTAGAATTGAGGGTTTGATTTCCATACCTGTTTTTTTCATGAAGTCAGTTTAGAGGACTGCTCATGATTTATGTAAATGTGAAACAATGAGAAAGAGCAAGCAATGAACAGGCCGTTATAGCAAGGAGATAGTTTTGAGTCGGTAGGTGAAGAATGTACTTGCCAGAGAGAACTTTTAAGCACTAATTGCATGATTTCCATTTTATAAACCATTCAGGCTGGTATTTGATAAAACCAATGGGACTCTGCACTGGAAAAATGATTAAGTAGCAAACATGTCCCTTTACTTGGCACTGATGAGGTCACACCTTGAATCCTGTGTTGAGTTCTGGACACTGAGGTGCTGGAGCATGTCCAGAGAAGAGCTGTGAAGCTGGGGAAGGATCTGGAGCACAAGTCCCATGAGGAGCAGCTGAGGGAGCTGTGAGGGTTTATCCTGGAGAAACGGAGGCTCAGGGGAGCCTCCTATTGCTTGCTAAAACTGCCTGAAAGGAGAGTGTAGCCTGGTGAGTGTTGTCCTCTTCTTACAGGCGACAAGTGACAGGATGAGATTAAATGACTTCAAGTTGTGCCACAGGAAATTTTGTTGAATATTAGGAAAAATGACTTAATGGCAAAGGTGGTCAGGCATTGGAATAGACTGTTCAGGCAAATGGTATAATCACAATCCCTGGAAGTGTTCAAAAAACATGGATGTGGATATGGACATGGTTTAATGGTGAACATGTTGGTGCTGGACTAACAGTTGGACTCAATGACCTTAGAAGTTTTTTTCAACCTTAAAATTATATAATTCTGTTATTTAATGCATGTAGAAAGTTATATCAGAGAAATACTTTAGTATAAGGTACTCACATATCATTGCTACAAAGGCATTTTTTGCTAATTATGACACTGTAGATAACTCTCATTGTCTTTTGCTTCACTTCGATTTTGATTGAATATTTTTGAGCAGTTTCAGTTGAAAGTGTTGAATTGAACCTTTTTTACCTTTTTTTCAGAATTCCACTGACTCTTTTTAAGCCAAAATACTTTCCAGAATTTGGCCCATATATGTATTGAACATTTCTGTCCTGAACCTCTTATTTCTCAGCAAGCACATAATACTGTGTTGCTGAATAGAACCCATCTGTTCCTCACATGTGAATCAGCTGGGGCTACTGTTAGGCACAAAATGGTTGCCAAAATGCTGTCATTTGACTGTGGAGGAAGTGGGAATAGGAAAACTATTTCATCTCGCATACATTTCGAAAATATATTTAACTGTATATTAATTGTCTTTGAATTAAATCCTCATGTTCTTGACTGTCTTCCCAGACTAGAGACTGGCAGGCGGCCCTATGAGAACAAAGAAACGCATGCTTATCTTTTGGTGAGGTTTGAAAATCAGTAGGAGCTGTAGCTCGTAGAGTTCAGCGTTTGTCCGAGTTTACCGTGTTTTACCGAGTTTACTTAAGCACGGCCTGAAGTGCCAAGTGTGCGTAAAACACGGCTGCGTTTGAAGCGCCATCTCTGCCTCACAGCACGGACACTAAAGGAGGATGCGGCTTCTGGTGTGTTCTGACAGAAGTGCTCTGTTTCCTTGTGGTGCAGATGGGAAGCCGGTGTCGCTGTCCCCGCTGGAGTCGCAGCCCCACAGCCCTCGGTACACGGCGTCGAGCCAGCGGGAGCGCGAGAGCCTGGAGGTGCGCGTGCGGGAGGTGGAGGAGGAGAACCGCGTGCTGCGCAGGCAGCTCAGCCTGGCACAGGGCCGAGGCCCAGCGCACCACCGCGCCAACCACTCCAAAACATACTCCATGGAGGAGGGCACGGGCGACAGCGAGAGCCTGCGGGCTGGCATCGTGGCGGGGAACAGCTCCGAGTGCGGCCAGCAGCCGGTGGTGGAAAAGTGTGAGGTAAATACACCAAAGGAACCCGCCGGAAACAAAGCTTGGTAGATGTGATCCTTTAAGGACATTGCAAACCCCTGTCTCCTTCCTCTGAGGCCCTTTGCTCCAAAACCAGCCTCTTAAAGGTCTGCTGCGTGCAGCTTTTCAGATAATTTCTTTTATTATGCTTTTTTAAAAAATCTTTAACACGTTTAATCATCAGAATATCTTCTGACTTATTATTTCATCACAGCTTTTTGTCTTTTTCATTCTTGTGTCCCCAAACCTGATATAAAAATCAAAGCCTTGTTTCTAGCTGACTTCACTGCATCTCTGCTGATAAAAACCTGTGGCAAACTGACCCCTGTATTTTAAATAATAATGACTCCAGAGTGCTTAGAAAAGCCTTAGTTCTTTGTTTCTGTGCCTATATTGAAGCGGTTCAGGGTTTATGATTAGTTAAATTGTGGCTCATGGATGCAGCCTGCGCTTTTGACTCACTTTCAGGAGTGTATCTGGATGTTAGTGTGGGAGCAGGTGCTTTGTGTGAGCCGTGAACGTTTGGCTGCAGGGAACTGGTGATCTGCCTCTAAGACAGTTTTGGTGTGGTTGGTTTGGTTTGGTTTTCCCCATTTTATGTCAGTACTTCTGTGGATGTCATCCAGATACTTAGTTATCAGATGTCTGAATGATAAGTACAAATATGGATAGATCCAAACCAGAAAGTCTCACTTAAAAGCCTTGTGCCAATCCCAGCTGATAAAGTTATCAAAAATAATTTCCTCCATTTATTTCTACAGAGAGGGTAATACCATATCACCTTTTATCTTTCTTGCTGCCACTTGGAAGATAAAAGTTGAAAGAAAATTAGTGCGAGAGGAAAAAGAAATCCTAATTATCTCTTCAGATAAATTCTATCCGATGGGAAGATACCAAATATGGTTTGAAAATGAATTACTGCTTTCCAGTAGGATATCTATCCATCAGTGTAAAAAAAATGAAGCAACATTATTGTAAGGAGAGGGAGAAGGAGGTTTCTGTTTTTCATTTTCCCTCCTCCAGATAACAAGGGTCTGATTTTCCTCACTGTGAGATTTTTTGTCATTTCTTTTAATCAGACCATCAATCAGCAAACCTCACTTTTCCCTTATTATTATATCAAGGAGTGATGAGCTGCATCTCAGTTCTTGGCTGTTCAATGTACCAACCAATCTAGGACACAAAAATAGTAGCTTAAAGTAGGGATAGCTTAAGTGGCCTTACAGTTTATGATATGTTTTGCCAATCAGTTTACTTGCTCAGTGGGGTTTAGCACTCTGCTGGAGGCAATGCTTATATAAAATATGAAATCTCACATTATTTGCCATTCCCCTATCTCACCACACACTATTTTGATCTCAAAATAACTTCTTACTCATTTTTTAAGGAATTCACTCAATAACTCAGTTACAGCAATGGAAGTTAAGATTAAACTTCCCTATTATCAGATTTACCATAATTTATCCTGTTAGAAGATTCTTGTCCTGTGTTTGTGTGAGGGGCATCTTGATGCCTTTCATTCTCTGTTTTGTTTTTTTTCTGTTTCATATGTGTAAACAGAATTTTTTTAGCTTCTGACCCTGGAATATATCACAGTAAGAATCAACAAATTGGATAGTGAGAAACAAGGGTTCTTAAGACTCTTGCTCTGGGGAGACTAAGAGTGTTAGGAATAGGTTGTTCATTTCATTGAGTCTGTTCTTAGAGATTACTGGTGATAACATTTCACAGTCTAATTTGGGATATAGTCTTTAATAGCGATTAAAATGTTTGAAAATGCAGTTACAATGGATGAACATTAAATCTCTGATAAAGCATAATCTATGTGATATTAATTGTGATCTGTATCAAATAGCTGTGGGTTTGTTGCATTCCAGTCACAGCTTCCTACTTTGTTGCATCACAGGAGAGCTCTTCTGATATTGTAAAATGGACCAGCTCAGGCTTCTCCCTGCAGTGAGCAGATGCCTGTCATGCCTTCCCAGTAGTAGACAATTTGAACACAAATAAAAGTGGAAATAAAAGTAAGCATAGTCCTTACACAGATGTCAGCACTAACAACAGGCTTCAGAAGGAGAGCATAATGCCAATGAAAGCTAACAAAATTGTGTGCCTCTTTCTTACAGTGTTATCCCAATATCTTTCCAGCTTGTGCCTCCCTAAACTGAGAATTTACTTGAATTTGGTCTGCATTTATAAATATTTTTGAAAGAGATTATATATTAGGAAATTGATAATTAGCAGTATAGCATTTAGTGACGTAGCAAGATACTTAACATCTGAAGCATTTTTAGAGGGATATCTGTGTTTTCTTGTTCTCAACAGTGTTGTTCAATAGGGTTAAATGTGTAATGCTCCACAGATCCTCAGCAACATTGGCAGTGTAACACATGTAAAGCAGATGTTATCTGCCTCTGGAAAAAAACCAAAAACAACTCTGAAAACAAACACAAGCATTTTGTCATATACTTGTAATATCTCTTAATCACATTCAGCAATTACTTATGAAGGATTAAATATCCACAGTGAAAGCCTACTGGAAAATTACTGAGGTATGAAATGGCTTACCAAAGATTATTTTTAACTATAAGTACTAATATGGGTTTTTAGAACTCATTATTTCATCATTCCAAAAAGTAGCCCAAGGAGGAAAAATTATTACATATGCTTATCTAGGCACTGTGCATTCCTCACCAGTATCTAAGGCCCAGTTCTTTGTGTGGTTTTGTATATTTTCTTCACATTAGTATTATCCCAGAACATGAAATACTGCATTTACAAACAGTTTCTCCTGGTCTGTAGTGGCTGAAGTAAGTGCAGAATTTCTGTACTATGTTAGCATGCACCTTGGTGTGACTTAAACTCCCTTTCCTGAAGAAGCTTAGCTTCCTGTTCAGTTGGTGTCCCTGATCCTCAGCCTGTAGGGAGAATGTTGTAATGAACTTCCACAGTGTTTGATTGCCTATTCATATCTCTGTGTACAAACAGAGGAAGAATTAATTGACTCTGGAAAGCAGGTGTATTGTCATATCATTTGTTGCTGCAATGAGTTACATTTTCCAGAAGCATCTCCAGTGAATGCCTTGAGTCCAGACTCTTGCAGCAAGTGGTAAACATATCCATCACTCACTTTAAAGAGAGCATTGTAGGAGGATGGACAGTTTGAAGGCTCAAACTGATTATCTAGGCTAGAGTGTGACTAGTATTATCCAAAACTACCATGGAATGCCAACAGTAGAGGGGCAAGCGTAGCATGCGGAGTCTTGGTGTGAGAAGTCTGGTGGGACATGTTGAGCCAAACAGGCAGGCTGACACTTGTAGTGGAAATTGGAGCATTCTTTGGTCATGTGTCTTTAGTCCTTGGTGTTAGATGCAGTCATTGAGTCTGGAGGTTGTGTGAATCACAGTGACCAGTTGTGGTGGGACTGGGGATATGCTCTTCCAGCCATCTGGAGATGGAAAAAAAAATAGTTTGAGAGAGGTGACAATTTTCAAGAGCTGAGAGGTGATGCTTACAGTAGTATGCTCAGAAGGGTGCAAGTTCTTTCAAATGCTTATTTCAGCCATGTCTTGCCAGAATCTGGGTACAGCCAGCTGCTCTCAATCCAAACATGTATTTGGAACAAGCATGGAGAAAACTGGAAAAAATGGTTTTCCCCTTGGGATGCAAACATCTGCAGACAGTTCAGGTTGATTACTTCATTTTGGCTTATCTGTTTTTCTACTATCTTTGTTTAACAGTTAAGCAATGAGAGAGAGAGAGGAAAGTGAATCAGGGAAAGGAGAGGAATAGACTGTCTTGCAGCATGCTGCAGGAAAAATAAAACTTGGAAAGAAAAGGTCTTGATTTCTGTTCTCTTTGAGGATTATTGCTTTTTTGTTTAACTGATTGCAGACAGGTATAGAAGTGATATGTAATATCAAGCACCACTGAGAGTCTGAGCAGAAGGTACATGGATGCCTGTGTCTCTGAGCTGGAAAAGAACATTCAGAAGAGTAAAAAGTGCTGCTCTCACTGTGTCCTGGCTGAAGCAGCATCCAAGGCAACAGCAGCTACTAGAAGACAGCGAGGAATGCATGCTTTCAATTCTGAAACAAACCGATCTAGTAAAAGGAGAACAGATGTGGGCAAGCACTTGACTGAATAAATTCTGATTTGGAGGGCAGTTGTAAGGTAGAGACAGTGGCTTTGAGGAGAGCTTTTCTGGCAAATGTAGATAGTATAAAACAATGTTGACAGTATATGACACTGTTATTCTGTGAAAACCCCTAAAATGTTTGTCTCCAAGGGTGAAACTGTTCTCAGTTAACTTGATTTTAATTGGCACTGAGGGGAAGCATCTTAGGTCTTCCAAAAGCCTGAGAAGGACCAGGTGACAATCAAGGAGGAGGCAGTATGTGTAGGATCAGGAATCAGTGCACCCATGGCAGCCCATGCTGATGATATAGTACAGATTCCTGCAGCAATAACAGTTGTTAATAAGCAGCCTCTGCTCTCCCCTCTTAACACAGGAGAGAAACACAATCAATTTTTGCCAAGTGTTGAGCATGCTGGGCTCTCATTGACTTTAACATAATTTTAAAAGGCTAATGCCTCACAGAGCTATTGCCAAAATGTACTGCACTATCTTTTCTTTTCTCACACCTCTCTGGACAGACAGTTGTCTTATTAATTCAACATAGAACATCAGATCTTAAATATGCCTGAGCTTGGGAAGCACAGTAGGGCTGGAGGCAGCTGTGATGTTCATGTGGACATTCTGCAGTGGCACAGGCACTTGGCAGTTGTATGATTCAAACTGAGCCTTGGACCAGGCAATCTTAATGGATGGGGCTGTGGGCTCTTCAGATGTGCCCAACACATGGCACTTCTTGTGTAAATGTGCCTCTGTATCGAGCCAGGCTTTGGGAATCTGTGACTATATGAGGAGGCAGAATTCCTCATTTGTTCTCAACATAGTGGGCATTCTGTGGAAAATGAGAGCTGTGCATGTGAGAAACCAGCTAACCAAGCTTCAAATGGAAGCCAAATGAGGCTTCCCTGCAGTTTCACAGCTGTGTCCCCAATGGCAGCTTTGTGCTGACAGCATGGTGAACTCTGCTTCATTTCTGTGACCACTAAGAAACAGAAGATCACAGAACCTGGAGTCAAAACTTGGTAGGATTAATTTTTCTTTTGTCCCTAGGGAGCAGAAATGGCTAATTTTTAAAAGCAGAGCAGAGTAAAGTAATAGCATTTTTCAGATTAGTACTTACTGGCTAAATAATGACTCGTAGCGCCTTTTCAATTTTCCCTTTCCACCTGAAGAGATGAGGAAACCTCTGCCTCATGTTAAAAGGTGGGTAAAAAGGCACAGAATGAGTGATGATTTACCAGTGGCGTGAGGTGGAGAGAATATATTTGTGGGGGTTGTGTTTAACTTCACATTAACACTGCAAGAACAGCCCATACTGGTAGTCATAGGCAGGGAGGTGGCCACTTGCCTTCACAGCCTGTGTGCCATCACATCACTGGGATGCATCCAGGCCTGGCAAACCAAGAGTCGCTGTCATGTTCATCCATGAAAGCTTCCTCACCCTCTCCATACAGGCTGTGCATAAGACAGAAATAATGCAAATTTTTTGGAATCATACCTGCTTCTGATTATCAGATACAATTTTAAACTTTAGTTCAGAAGATTAAAAATATCTGTATGTTTGCACACTCAGGACTTTGTGTGCTGCTTACTTGGGGAGGGCATGTGTACACACATGCACATGTATGTCTGAGCTAATGAATGCAATTCTGTTCAAACATCTGATGTAATGTAGGCACAGTAATGACTTTGGAATGATGATGGTGCTGTAACTCAATTAAGATGTTTTTAGCAAACTGCCTCAAGTGGGTTGCAAACAGCTGCAAAACACCCACTCAAATCCCTAACAATTGCAGCACTAAACAACAGCAGTGTCGTGTGTGTGCTCTCCTTAACGAGTGACAAACACAGGAGCAGGCTTTAACTTTTGTTCTTTTTGTTCCTTTTCTACCACAGACTATCCACGTTGCCATTGTCTGTGCAGGGTACAACGCCAGTCGGGATGTTGTCACACTCGTCAAGTCTGTCTTGTTTCACAGGTAAAGGTAGCTTTCTTTTCATGGATATTGTATATCTGATTATGACTAGGTGAGCTTTTTCTAGGGTTACTCTATTACTTCAAAAGAAGGTCAGATTCCCTTCCCTGGTTCCTTTCTCTTTTTAAGGAATGAAGCATTTAATTTATGACCAGATTAGATTTAGATTTCACCTGTGTGAAGATTTCTTAAGTGAATAAGAGGGATCAGAGATCCACCTGCTACCCCTGTTGCATTGTGGGAACAGGGAAAATATCTATCTTCACTGTAAAGTATCTTCAGACTCTTGAATGCTGTAGAATAATGGTAATGGTAATAACAGTGTTGTATTCATTTAGCCTGTTTCTGGTATCAGTTTATGGCACAGGTGTAGATGATGAATTCACACTGGTTGCTTGACTATCCCACCGTCCAGTTTTGACATTCGTTTTTGAAATAAACATGCTGTTACAGTCAGCATATACACTATTTCATTAAATCCAGATGGTTTATTCCAGCTTTGGAATGGCCCCTCAGAAGGTTTTGCAACCTGGTTTTAGCACAGTTAGCTCCCAAAATTAAGAGGCATAAATGTACAATGAAAACAAAATAACAAATTCCCTTAATAGACAGCAGCTCCAGAAAAAGAGAATTCACATTAAACTGTGTGTGGGTGTATGTGTATATCCATTGTCCAGTTTAGAAATGTCTCTCAGAGATGCTTTCCAAAAATGTTGCAGAAAGTGGATTAAAATGAGGGAAGTGATCAGACTGTTTGACTCAAACAGGACAAATAGACTAGTAAAATATGCTTACAGTACAAACAACTTACTGAGGAGGTAGCTTCAATATGCTGTTTTACTTGAAAGACAATTTTGTGCAAGAATGAATGATTCTTGTTCATGTACATGTTCCATCTAGCATGAGTGGGGCTTTCCAGTCCCACACTTTGCTCCTTATGTTTGCCTCCAGTTTCCTACTGGAAGCCTTGGTAGTCACTCCCTGACAGTGGTTTTAATACACCATTTTATCATTTTTGGTAAACTTCCTAAAATAATATAAATGCTTGCCTTGTCCAGTAGGAAAAAATACTCCATAATACTGTTTAATCAAAATATGAGAGCAGCTTCCATTATCAACACACAGTCTTTGCAAGTCTTTTGAGAAGTAGCATGTTCATGTTAGATGAAGGGTAGGACCAGAAGAACAATGCTAAAATAAGCATAACAAAAGCAGAAAAACAGTAAAAATCTGTGTCATTCTTGGTGCAGAATTTTTCTGAACATTAAAATTCTGTTAAATGTTAAAACTATATCAATTTCCAGTTAGAAGTTTGAATTATTCAGTGTAAACTGGCTTTATATTGCAAGGATGTGGGGTGGTTTTGTCTATTTTAATTGTTGTTTCTAAGAGAAATTGCATTTTTGTAGTGACATGAGTTTGCCTAGTGGTTTGCTTCTCCCTGTTTTTTCTGTCCTAGTACTTGCATCCATTTTGCAAAGACTTTAATCTCTCTGATTCCAAATGTTCTGTAAATAATAGGAATCTCACAGCTCAAAGGTTTAAACAGCCTCTCTCTGTTTTCCTTAAAGGAAATGTCCCTGTTTTACTTAAGGCAATCCTCTGAGCAATTAGAAAATTTATTAACAATACTGCCATGTAATGAAATTATTCAATAATAATAAATTAAAATATTAAACCAAAAAAATTAATTAATATTGGTATTTCTAAGTCTGATGGATTCTGCCTCTGTCAAGACCATATTGTTCTTTGGCCTGCACTACTGCTTGTCTCAGGATTTTTCGAGCTCAGCAGAGGTGGTCAAGATAAAGTCCACTATAGCTAATGAAACTTGAGTACATTCAAGATAACCTATCTCCCTTGTTTGCTCAGAACATAAAGACAAATCTAAGTCCATTCCTGCCTAGAACTAGCTTTTCTCACTAGGCATTAAATTGTTTGCTAGAAAGAGAAGATTTTCTCAGAAAAGAGACAGAGCTTCTTACATACTTTTCTTTCTTTTATTCTAGAAAACACAGGCTTCTTAAGCATCAGTTGATGCTATGGCTCCATGGCCATGCTTTATGGTAGCATGAGGAGTAGCACTCCTTTCTTGGATCTCTATCTTTGGAATGGCAGTTGTGTAGAAGGATGCAGAATAAGCAAAAAGAAACAACAAACTAAACTGAATATTGATTTAGAGCTAAGTTTCCTTGCATGGAACATGGTTTCCACGTGCAGACAATGTTACGTTAAAGACCAGTATGTGCTTCAGAAATGGTGATAATTTGATTTAGTTGCTAGGATCTATTTACTTGTAGGAATGAAGGATGAAGACAGGTCATGATAGTGCATTTAGGAGAGTTGGAAGTGGTTGGTTCAGATAGTCAGTGCGTCATGATGTCAGCATCCAGTTTGCTTCTGTCTTGAGGGTCCTCAGTGAAAATAGGCATGGAGATGTCTCTTCTAACCCTAAATATGCACCAGGGAGTGCATCCTAGCTGGCATTGTCCAATCAGCCAAGCAGAATGGACACTAGAAAGGTCTGTATGCTTCCAATGGAGAAGTTTGCTTAACAAGGAGTTTGCTGTCCTAATCTCTAAATTAGGCTACTGGTCCTCCATTTGTCAAAGCAACCAGGCTTAATGTCCTCAGCTGTCCTCCTGCACCTCAGTTGGTTTGTTTGTTTGTTTGTTTTAAGACACTGATTTTAGTGAACCTATCTGGAATTTGTGAAGATGTCATGTTCTTCTTTTGGCATTTCTGTACAGGTTTGTAATTAAGGCATGTTTTAGCGTGCATTTTGATATGAAACTATATACCTGAACTCACTACTTCCATAGGAAATCCCTGCTTCTCTAATAGAAAAGCTCTGAGAAAAGGAGGCCATGTCAGTCTAATCCCAGGGAGCATTAACATATTTGTTACACCCCCAACTTTAGCTAGAGTGCTAGATAGAGACACAAAACAGCAGGAGTGCTGGGTCATTAAGGATAAAAGCTACAGGATTTTCTGTAGATGGAGTGTGCTGTCTCTTCTCTCTTGCATGAATGTACAGAAAATCCTGTATATTGAACATTTCAACTCTCCACAGGCCTAAAACACCAAGATTTGACTCATACCATATATATTATGAGACTTAGGCAAGCTACTTGTTCAGACCACTTGAGAAACCATATCTATCTTCAGGTTCCAGAGAGTGGGAAAAAGAGAGGAAAGGGGTAATGTGATTGATTCCACATGAGAACACCACAGTTCAGAAATGTGTTTCATTCCCAGTGATAAAGGAGCTTGATTCCAGTTTTGTCTTTGGAAAACGTATGCTCCAGCCACAAAATCCAGCAGCTTTTAACACCCAGTTTGACATAACTGACAGTCTGTTCTCAGGAGGAGACTCAGCAGAGCTGGGATAGTGCAGGGTTTGCAGTCTGATAAATATGCATTGGCAGCGCTGCACAGAGGGAGGCTTGTAGAATGAATACTCAGTCCTACTCTGCAACTTTCCTGCTTTCCTTTCTTGCACATCCAGTTCCCAATTATGACAGATTTTATAAAGCCAGTGCAGGGCTAAAAAAAATTATCTCTGAGTTTAACACAAGCCAGTCTTACATCATTGTGTCCTAAGGGCAGCCTAACTTTAGTTTTTCCAAAACCAGAAGTCTAAACACTAAAAATTATTTATATTGGGTCAAATAGGCAGAATGAAGTGCAAATACTTTTGGAAGCAGTGATTGTAGTAGTATGTTAAAAAGCCACCTGCATTTCTTTTTCAAAACCAAAGCAGTTTCTTGTGGCTGATAACATTCCTTGATTCTTTTGCAACTATTGGTCCAAGCTACATTGATGATTTTCAATGTTTTACTCCATTTCTGAAAATTGTAAACCTTAGAGTGCCACAGAAACAGCCCACAATTATAGTTACATATTGAAAAGATAATTTCTCTTTCTGTTCAGGTAAGTCTGAACTTGAGTAAGAGCTAAAATAAGAACTTGAGTAAGAGCAAGTTTTTAACCATTTGGAAACAAAGAAAGAACCAAACTTGCACAATTGTAGTGTGTTTCTGGCAGTTAGGTCAGCATGACAATCTGTAAAAAATGAACTTCTCTTTTGTGCCAGCTAGTGTTGGGTTGGTGCCCTTATTTTTGTCTCCACTATGTCAGTCCCTCTTCTTCTCAGGCATATTTACTTCTTAAGCTGTACTGTCCACCTCTGCTACAGCAGTAGTGGCATAGGAATGTGGGAGCTTTGTAAGGAATGTAAACAAAACCAGACAATCAGACAAATGCTTTTTAATAAGAAGTTGCCTCTTTGCTTTAAGAAGGCTGCTTGTAACCTTAAAGTTAAGCATATGTCTGAGCATTTTTAAGAACAGGATATGAAGCTGTGTTATAGAATGCTGTATGAATCATGAACTCCTTTTTTTTCTTAGAACAAGTAGAATAAGGCAAACCAAATGAAAATCTAAATTAAATTTAAAGGATGTCATGTAATTTCCAAGTAAGAGTCACAAGTCAACACTGGCTGGTAATTAAAGCTTATATAATCTAATGGCTATATTCCATTGAGACCACTTTGCCTTAATGGAGTTAATTTGAGAATTCAAAACCTCTGTCAGTGTTTCCAACTTTTCTAATGTTTCAGTCTATTTTGTGGGAGGTTATTCTGTCAAAAAACCATAAAGCATGACCTGCTGTCTCTGATCCATATAAATGCATCAATAATACACACTTCTTTTTGTTTTTTCTAGCTGTCCTAACATTAGAGGCACAATGGAGAAAGCAATGTTTAAAAAAATCTGCTCATGAAATCTCTTGGTACTTCCCAAAGTACTTCTGTAAGTTAACAGAAAAGAGGAAGATCCACGAGTGTGATGCAGCAAGTGTGTATTTAGGATCTCTCCAATAGTTTGGGGAGTATCTTCATCATCCCATATGAGGGAGGGATTGTTATATGGGCATTAGGAGAAAAAGTTTCCCAAACTGCCTTTTATAATTCCTGTTTGAAGTTCTTGTAACCATTTGTTACAGATATAAAAGGTACTACCTTGTTGAGCTTCCCTTGATAAAGTATAGGTTTTGGAAATAAAATACTGACCTTTTTATATTCTGAGAAAATAAAATTCCTCTGTTACAGAGAGAGAGAACTGTGTAACCAAGCAGCCAAGGAGCTGCCTTTTGAATTACTAACAATTGAGCTATGGAATAGTGCAGAAGGGAAGAGTGAAGTCTTGGTTCACTACTCCCTTTTTCAATTGTAGATTTCTGTATTTAACTCTGTGGCAGTGGCTATTTGAAAAGAAAGGGCCACAAATGCTTGAGCAAGCAGATCATAAATCTGATGAAGAATAAGAAGTTTTGAAATGCAAGAATAAGACATCACGATAAGAAAAAATGTAGAGAAGTGGGTACCTTGGAATAGACTTCTAAATTCATGGCCTGACGTTTAAAAAATTGACTTCTTTCCCTTTTACTAACTTTATAGGACCTCAGCAATTTTGAAAATGAGGACATTCATTCAAACTCCTATATTTAGGTCTAAGAGCCTATATTTAAGCATCCATGCTTAAAAATCTTGGCTAGAATCTCCCTTTGTTCATTTTGAGGAAAGTAATTTAGGAAAATGACTGTGTGCTCTTTACATATGGTTTACTTTGTCAGATAGTGTTCTGATCTTAAGATAAGTGGAAATAAGTTAATATATGAAGATTTTCAGTTTTCTGAATAGAGTATATAGAACCTTAAGTTTCCACTTGATGGGAAATAGCCACATTTTGGAACTACAATTTTACCACAATAAGTTCTTAATGCATCAGCATTTTCCATGCAGCAGAAACTGAAAAGTTGTAGTTGGTAGAAATTCAAATATTCAAAATAATTGGAGTAAATAAGATTAAGTATTTCTGAACCTTGTGAGAAATCCTATGGCTTTTTCAATACTTGCTTCTGTAGTAAGGAGTCTGGAAGACCTGGGGCTCAGGGTTCTGAAACCTGGGATACTAGCAACACTTATTCCCAAACAGATTAATTCATTTGAATACTGTGGATTTTCCAAAACCTGTTAGTTTTGTGGGAGAAGTTTATCTCAGTTGCCATATATTGACCCATGTTATTCCATAGTTGCATATACTGTCCCCATTACAGTATAGTGATTTCTATCACTGCAAGATACAACCACCCTAAATACGTGTTTTTTAATTTCTCGTGATGTGCCCAGTGGAGAATGGGAAAAATGTCCAAGTTTAATGAAATTCAGCTTTCAGTGGAATCCTTCACAATATCCTGATTGTCATCCCTAATTCTTAGAGCCAGTGATTCAATCATGCTGTCAGATAATCATGGCATCCCTCTTATCTATCTCCTGAGATAGATTTCTCATCTTGCAGAATCTCTTCTGTATCTTTTATAATGAATGTTGGTTGATCTTCAAGCTTCTGAACTTGTTTCTTAAACACTTCGAAGCAATCCATATCTTTTAGGCTTCGCATATTGCAGGCAGCAGAAGAGGTGAAAGATGTCATCTGTGTGTATGCTAGTGCGGTTACCTTCAGAGGGTCTTCCAGCTTTGAGGCTGTGCACTGTTGGCTTCCAGCACCGTGCTGAACCTCACATTTCACAGAACTGAAATCTTGTCTGGGGTAAAATTTTCTGTGGCTGATGCACATTTAGTTGTAGATGTCATCAGGTCACTATACTGTTTTGGGGATATATTTTTGTAAGTGATAATCTTCTGCTTTGCCTCTGACACACGCTTTCCTTCCAGCTGAATCTTTACCACGAGGCTAACAACTTGAAAGAGGTTTTTGTGTGGGAGTACAGCTATCCTTTTTTCTTTCTCCCAGTAGGAGATGAACTAAAGTAAATGTCACCCACTTGTTCCCATTTAAGTTTCATACACTCTGGGTCATTCAGATAAGTATAAACTGCTACTGAACATCTGAGTGTCTTTGTGTCAGATTTTTCCTTTTCAACTAGTGTGTTTCATCTTGAAATATTTTATTTCAATTCCATTTAACTAAACGATCATTTGAAAGAAGATGGAGCTTTCTTTTTTTTTACTGACTTTTTAGTCTTCTTATTCTACTTTGGAATATAAGATAAATAACTCCATAATAAAAAAGATGTAAGGAAATTGCTGAACACCAGCTGGGAAATAGTCCTACCAGAATCCAGACTCAGCCCCTGCTTAGCAGAGGGACCTGTGTGGGATGTGTATGTTGATACTGAACATCTATTTGTCTTGAGATACTGCTTTGCTTGTACCCAAAGCCACCGGTGTTGTACTTTGCTTCTCTTGGCCTTGTCTCTACTAATGAGATGTATTTCCTGATCACTGCTATTTCCTGATTTTTTTCTTGGCAAGGTGCCTGGTTACTGCGGAATCTGCATGAGCCAGGATGTCCTCTTCTACTCTCCTGCTGGGCTGGTGAAGCAGATGTAATTGCTGTGATCCCTTCAGCTTGGTAATGGGACACTCAGCAGCTGGCAGCTTATGCCTTTCCCTCTCCCCTCCTCCCTGTAGGGCAAACTGGAGATTGAAAGACCTTTGTCTTTTGAAAAAGATGTTGTGGCTTAGTGTTTTGTGTATTGTTTAAGGCAGATCAGCTCTGGATTTATTCTGCCATCGTTATTATCTCCTATATAAAACTTCCACGCAGCCCTTTTCTGGTTTTCATGTAAGCACATTATGTGATCCACAGTGTCCTTGAAGCAGCTTCACTGGGTTGGGTCTTAGGTGCAGTATTTCTGACACTGCAAAATCCAGTCATACATTGCTTCTTACAATGTCCTCTTTCTGCTGAGGGGTCTGTTAAAATAGCATGTACCATTATGTGTATTTTTACATTTTCCTGTGGACTTTGTTCAGTGGGAAGCAGTATTATTCATCAAAGCAAGAAGTGAAACATTAAAGAGGAAGGCACATTTTTCATTAATGTAGAAAATGGAGGAAAAGATAACCTTCATTTCTTGGATTAAACCCAAAAGTGTAATGGAAGTATACTGGCCTGAACTAACATAGTTTTCCTCACTTCTCATTCACACTGAAGAATGTAGTATCATCACTCATCTTCTGCTTTCATCAACATCTGAAACGAAATACTTCTCTTGTTAGATGAAAAATACCAATTAACAAGTACACTCATTTAGCTTTACAAATTCCATAGAAATGAGAATCCACTCTTTCACTCTAGGGATGAAAGAAAGGTTGATCCCATGCTAAAGTCTAACAAACCATTTGTTTTCTTAGTGGTTTTTTCAAATTCAGTCCTTTTCTGCTGACGGGGAAAGTTGCTAAGCTGGGGTAGACATGGAAGACTACAATTTGTGACTAGCTTTCACTGGTAGGTTTCCTGCCACAGAAGTTAAGATTAAATTATGTTGCTTACTGTCCTCCAAAATGAGAGGGAGGTTAAAGGAATTAAATAAGGTATTTATAATATCTAAGCTCACATTAGTATAGAAAAATCCATAGACTTTGTCAGAGCTTGCCACTCTTGCTGACACTGGCTTCACCCTTCGTGTTTTGAAGCTCTTCAGTTAGCCCAAGTCCTGTAACTACAGAAGTGAACCCAGATCTGGTGTCTGGAAGTAAAATGTTTCCTTTCTTCCTGCCTTCCTTGAACCATTCCTTCTTGTAGGAAAAAGGCTGTGGTGAGATTTGCAATCTCCATTCTATTCACTATGTCAGGGAATATCTAGAAGGCACTTATCTGAAACACCTAATTTTGGGTTCCTGTGAGACAGCTGTTGATTTTCAAGTTTGCTTTGTAGAAAGTTCTGTGTAAACTCAAGGGTTCCAGAATTTTACCTCATTCAAATTATTATTTTTAACCTTCCATTGCACCCTCATTTCTCCACAGACGTTGTTCTTACCACAAAGATGAATGACCAGGTTCACCTAGAAACGGAAACAATCACTTCCAGAGCTCAAGTCTCCAAAGGGGTATTAACTTGGCCCTTTTTTAAGGAGCTGGTGTAGGGCACAAGTCTCTTAGCTGTTACAAATCATCACATTCTGCTGAAGTCAAAGGATCTGTATGTTCATATCCACTCAACTGACTGAGTATTTTGTTGCCATCATATGTATTCAAATTGTGTCTCAGCATTTTGGCCACAGAGCGGGACTCCACCATACATGCTGCACACTGAAAACTCGACATCTTAGACACAAATAAAGCTTTGTAAATTGTGATGTTGTCCTTTAAAAACAGGAATTGGAAACCTTTGAACTAATGTGTTTCTCTCCCTTCTCACTTCAGGCGAAACCCACTCCACTTTCACCTCATTGCAGATGCGATTGCCAAACAGATCCTGGCAACTCTGTTCCAGACATGGATGGTCCCTGCTGTGCGCATAGACTTCTATGATGCAGATGAGCTCAAGGTAAAGACAGACAGACACTGGTGTCAGTCATATACTTCTGATTTGATGTCACACCTCTGTTCCTCATCTCCCTTGACTGGTGAATTGCAGGGGAGCTACTGCCTAAAAGTATTCTCCCTGATGACAAATTCTAACTGACATGATTGTAACCCTGATTACACCTAAGTGGAAGATGCTAAATGGCTAAAATCAGTTCATTTTCTCTGGAATGAGAGCAGCTAATGAAATACTTTGTTTAGCAGCTTCGAATTTTACCTGCTAGCAAGAGGATTCTGGCTGTCCATCTGATCACATTTTGTTTTTTCTAGGGATACTTCTTCCCAGTAGCAATGGTGGAATCTTGAGTATCTTGCTCAATAAGCCGGAGTCTGTCACTGTAAACTCTCAAATGCCCTGCATTCCTCAAGCCACAGGTGTGTGAAGCCTTAAGTACACACACTGTGATGAAGTAGCATTAGTACAATAGCTATCTTTTTTTATCTGGATGCTCTTCCAAAAGGAATAAACATGAAAAGATTTCAAGGGGGCAAAAAATCACTTACTCAAAATAATTATCTTTTCACAGTTAAAAAGTTTAAATTAGAACATGGATGCACAGCATTGATTTTGAGCTGTATGTTTTTAGCTCTGGAGGTAGAATGAAGTATTCAGATTTTAGCATTTGAAGTTGGTGTCAGTAATTTGTATGACTTACCAGACTATTCTGAACAGCACCCTGAAACAAGGAAAAAACAAAAATTTAGTGAATTGGTGTATTATTAAGGGGAAAATTCAAAGCACACCACATTGTGAAAGATTGAATTACAGAAAGCTTTAGAAAGAGATGGAAAAGAAAGAAAAGTGATTCTCGAGAAAATAACTTCTATTTTTCATTGGTTCTTCTACATGAAGCCATAAGCTGATATTAACCTAATTAGCCAGAGATCTTCCTTCTGTTCTTTATAGCTTCATGGCAAGGAGGAGGTTTGTTCTTATAAATCTTGTACGTGTCTATGTTACACGTGCTTTTCTGCAAATTGTAGGGGTTTTAATTAGCCTCTCAGCTGGGGAAGACAAACCTCTTAGTGTTTACCTTCTGGTCATTTGGGTATGCTCCAATCTAGTTAAGTAAACAATAACCAAGAGAACTTACTTCAGTGATTCCCAAATTTCTGATTTATAGGCAAAGCACTGAGCAGATATGAGCAGAGCAAAATATTTTTGTCCCTTCCTCTTCACTCAGCCTTAATTTTTTATATGACTGGTGACCTAAATCAGCACTAGACTATCTTGCATGTAACCCATAGGCTTTAGGTTGAGGACCACTTTCTAGCTGGATGGAGTTATTGATGCATAAATAGGTCTTTCCAGGTTTGCCTCCCTTGTTCAGAGCTCATTGTTCTCCACACCAAACAATTTCCCTGATTTCAGTGGCCAAAAAAACACAATATATAGTACTGAGCATAGGGGAATGTGACAGACATGCCAAAAGAGAGCAAAGAGTTACAAATATAAACAGAGTTTTAAAAAGCCAGGAATGATGCTGGCTCATATCCAGATCATTCTGCAGGTTTTAGCACAGACAACAGAGGAGCTGTTTACAGACAGCTATAGGAGCTCATCTCATTTGTTTCTTATGTAGCCCCTAGAGAGGATTTAATGATTGGTTTGGGTTCATGTATTTCACCTGCACTCTTGGGAGCTGTATTATGCTGCCTGGTGTTAAGAAAACATAGAGCTGATGTTGGATGTTTACTAGAAAGCCTGTCTTTCTCTAAAGTGATGTATGGATTCACTGTTACAGTAGATACTACGTTTCAGTTTAAATGACCCTCCATAGTTCTTTTTAAAACCTGTAATCAATACCAATTTCTGACTTTTAAAAGGGTTTAGACTGAGTGATAGCATGAGAACTTTCTGCTTAGCTTTCATTCACCAATGTTCAGTTGTTTTGGAACACATTTTAGATGCTACAGAAAACATTTAATTTCATGTTTGTTTTTTTCCCATTGGATATGTATGAGCTTCCAACCTCTTCCTTCTAATGCAGCAGGTGCTGGCATGTTAGATTAAGCCCTGAAGTCCTGGGAAAAGTCCTGCTTCTGGTCCTGTTCCTGCTCAAACATTGGAAGGGAGCACATAATATTAGATCCTCCATAAATAATGTGGATGCTTTTTTGTTTTCAAGTAGCTATTTAGAATTCAGGCAACAGTTTCCAGTAGCATATGAACTTTTTAAAAGGAAGAATTTTGGAGACTAAAATATTTTGTATTTGGCAATGTTTCTTAACATATCCTGCAGCTCTTAAAATACACACTGCTTAGCTTAGAGCAACCAGTGTCCTGAAGAAAGGCATCAAAAATTAGTCTTGGCTGTGGCTATTGTTTTCTCTCAGGTTTTAGAGAAAAACTGGACATTTCACTGCAAGAAAGGAAAGACAAGGTACCATGGATTATATCTGAATTTCTAGGGCCAGCAAACCAACATATCCACTTTACTGCTGCAAATTAAGCATGTCAGATGTTCCTTTTAAAATTTAGAGAAGACTTATTTTCCTTTTGCAAGGTGACACAGCTGTTCACGCTCCTGTTGCACCCCAGGAGCAACAGGCTGAAAGAGCCTGGGTTCATTCTTTCCCTAGAAGCAGGTGCTGCCAAACTGCCAACAGCCTGCTTGGAAGAAGGATGGAACACAGGAGAGAATGGCCAGGGAAAGGTGTTCTTTGCTTGGGGCATGTGATAGGGGATATGGGACAGAAGAGGAGCAGACTTAACTGTGGAGCTGAGCCAAAATAACAGCATTTCCAGGAAAAGGGTCAAACACAGTCAAGATGGCAGTTTGCTGGACGTATTTCTTTAAACCAGTTAGTTTGAAGATTTTAACAACTGGTTCTACTAAGATGCTTGTAACATTCCCCAGCAAAACTTGGCCTGTCTCCTCGCTGCTTTGCCAATAACCTCAAGGGAGATGGATGGAGGCTTAAAAGCTCTTCCTCAACTTACAAGCTGTTTGGATTGTGAGCTCTCTCCCATTAACTAAACTTGCTACGTGCAATTAGTAATCAGCAATAAGCATCCTTGAAGTGTGGGCTGCTGATAATGGTGCCAGTAATTAAACTATTCCACAGCCACATACTTCATTCTTGCTCTACTCAGTACGGCCCACACATTACTCTTCCAAATTTTTGTGGTCATATATGGCTGTGACTGCTAACTGGAAAGTTACCTGGCAGTGTAAATTCACTTTATATGATCAGGTGTGTTAGTCAGCTTTGGTCCTGACACAGTATCTATTACAGCAATACATCCCACAAAATAACTGGCAACTGAAAATGGTCTTCTTTGAACATTAAATAAAAGAAAGGGAAAAAAAAAACAAAAACAAACCTGTAAAACATTCATCTATTACAGCTGTGATTTGCAAATATCAGGCTGCAGAGTATTGTGTATTTTTTTAAGTTCAGTCTTACATGAAGAAACTCCGGAACAAACTATTGGAAGTGTGCAGCTTGAGCACTTGGCTTCTGCACCTCATTGTTGAACATGGAATCTGGTGTCAGTTCACTCACAGGGAAATACAGGCTGTAGATCCATTGTGATCTGCACTGTCCCAGAGCAGAAGGAACAGCTGATGAGGCAGTACTGTATGTGGTGGGTGGAATGCAGATGAGGTGAGTTTGTTTTCCCAGATGTTGCCTGACACACTGATGACAACATCAGGAGAACTGAATAAAGCAGATCTAGAATGAGCAGTTGTGAGTAAATGGCCCAGATACAGTCTCTTCAACACTGATAGAGCAGAAAAGCCATCTCCTTTAAATAGTTTAGTCCACATGTGCTGCAATTGATTTATGAACTTGAAGGGATGATGAATAGATTTTTGTAGTATTCCAGCTTTTACTGTTCCCAGAAACAGTAGACCACAGATCTGAGTACCAGTACTTCATTAGATGATTTCCTATCAGAAGTGTTGATGTCAGCACTCTCATTCAAAATCAGTGGTGTCATCCAGCACAACCAAACTCAGATAATGCATGGCATAAAGATCACCTAACTTTGGGCATTTACTGCAGTATGAGTTACTGCTTAGCCACTTTCATCTGAACTTTGAAGACAGTTCAATAGGTCAGGTATTGACATCATTTGACATCATATTGACATCACAAAATATTCTGAGTTAGAAAGGACCCACAAGGATCATCAAGTCCAGCTCCTAAATGAAGGGTCCATAGAGAGATTAAAGCCATGACCTTGGTGTTATTAGCACCATGCTCTAGCCAGCTGAGCAAGGGCTATGATATTTAAGCAGAAATCTAAAGCTTAATTCTTTAATTCTAATTGTAGTATCGCTGGCTTTCAGGTCTGTGCCTGTGTGCACCCCCAGTGCACTTAAATTCCCATAGTGGTCCAGAACTCCCAGGCGTGTTGTCTGCACAGATGAGATAAAGGACTGGTTTGAGGCAGCAGCCCAAGTTGAAACCAGGTGATTGATGGAACAGCTGGCACAAGAAGTATTTGACAGCTTGTTACAGGAGTGGTCCCGGTGGGAATTTCAGACAGTTCTTGAGATTTTCCAGGCAGACCCTGCTGCACCTAGACCAATTTGTATGCTTGAGCATGTCGATTAACATCCTGGGCAAAGAATCTGGCGTTCCCAGATATTCACAGGCAGTTCCTGCTGCAAAGTTAATCAATTGTACAAGAGTAAGACAATCAATAGGAACAGTTCCTGCATGTGTAGAAATGATCATGTAGGACAGTGTTTTGTACATACTTAAGATAGTTAGGAAATGTTTTGTACACAGGTTAAGGTGATCTGTAGTGACACATCATACATATCTCACAGTGGTCAGGTAGGACCATGGGCCAGCTGGCTTACAAAAATTATACAGAAACATGTTTTAGGGAGTCTCACCCAATCCAGCTAAGATGACCAGTAAGAACCCTTGCTATGGAGACTCCCTTTACTGCCTAGACAGCGAGCAAGTGTCCTGTCTGGCACACTGTATTGTCCATACAAA